ATGAATAAGTCTTGTTGATAGCGAATCAGCTGCCGGAATGTTGCATGAAGCCATATCCATTTGGCCGGCCATCGATTGTAATTGCTGCAGCAGCGATAGATGGGGCCAGAGGCGCCGAGGCGCATATGGAGCTGCGGTTGGCCGTGTCCCAGTGCGGTCGAAAAGGGCGACAGTCGCGCGGGTTTTTGTTTATGTATTTTTTTTCTGTTGGCTGGGGTTGATTGCGGGGGCGGGGGCGGGGGCGCAAAAGGGACTCAACTACCAAAGTGTACAATATTAATATATTTCACAATTCCCCAGCTGCTAATTAACTTGGCCACACCAACAACGGCAAACGACCAGGCATGAGAGTGTGTGAGTGCGTGCGTGCGTGTGTGTGTGTGTGTGTGTGGTGTACATATGTTGGTGGGTTTGTTTGAGCACCACATTCGGGTGGGTTACGCCTGTGGTCGTGCGTGCAATTTAAATAATGAAGACATTTTATTAATTCAAGAAATTCAACTCGCCTGCCTCAAATATGAGCCRCACACACACACACACATGCACGCACACTCGAGCAATTATACAGAGCGGGTCGCTAGAACATTAAGCAACATCACAAAGAGAGAGAGAGAGGGAGACAGACAGAGAGGGAGGCAGAGAGCAGAAGCAAAAGTTTCGGCTGTGCAAACGTCCCAGTGCGCTACCCATTCATCCAATGCGGTCATGTGTGTGTGTGTGTGAGAGAGAGGGAGCGTGAGTGTGTGTGTGTGTGTGTGTGTGTGTGTGTGTAACGTTTCGCCCATTTCATTTTTAGTGCTTAGTGAAAAACAAAACATTTCCTAATCACATGGACAAAGTCGCTCAAACACACACATGAGGGCGGACCGTGGGGGGAGGGTGGCTAGGGGTTGACTGGGGTGGGCATGGCCGTCGCATCCCTTGGACTGCCCCGCTACACTATTGCGTTAACAATTAACAGCGCAACGCACTGCGACAACGACTACACAGCCACTTGAGCCATAAAACAGCCCAATGCGACTCGCAGCTGACCCCAATCAACCCACACTCCAGAGTGGGAGAGGGAAAGAGAGAGAGAGCGAGAGGGAGAGAGGGAGAGTGTGGCAGCAAACCACTCGCCATATCTCATGTTAATGAAATCGTAACTCTTCGTGCAACTTGTGTCCGTTGTTTTTTTTTTTTTTTTCTTTTTGCTTTCTACTTTACTTTCTCTCCTGGCCTTTCCTTTCTGCTGCTGCTTCTTCTTCTTCTGTTGCTGTCTGCTGGCGATGACGTGCGTCAGGCCAGCTCCAGATGCACGCGCTGCAGCCAACAATTGTTTACAAAATGGCGGCGTGCCACCACACGGGGCGGGTGATTAACTCGGAACTTTGAGAGCGAGACGTGAGCAAAGCCACCAAAAAAAAAAAAAAAAAAAAAAAAAAAAAAAAAAAAAAAAAAAAAAAAAAAAAAAGTGAAAAGCGAAAAACAAAAAACAAAACGAAAGAACTGAAACTCCAAGTAAAACAAATATTAACTTGGCGCGCTGTATTAACTTGGCTAACTTGATAAATACGCTGCTGCAGGAGCAGCTTAATAATGATAGATAAGAGAGAGCACCTAGCTACCTCGAGGGTCAATAGGAGGCGTGGCTGATCATATGGGGTATACTATATAATATGTATGCATCTCTCTAAATGTTTGGTTGATCGATATATGCTGAGATATTCATCTATGCATCTAGTACATCTACAAGTACCCTCAAATATGCGTATGCCTCTATATGAATACTTGATCATGATCGATATATCCTCAGATCTGTATGCAAATATACATATCTATCTCTGTAAATGCTCGGTGTAGCTGAATCGATTTTATCCACAAGTATAAACGCATCCTTAAACAAATCCTTAATCATAATCGATTATCTATAGCTCGATCGATATACCCTCAGATATATATATTGCTTGATTGTTCATCTATAGCGATATCAATATATCCTCAGTTATATGCGCATCTATATGCATATATGTATATATAGATGCTGGTATATACCTGAGGATATCTCGATTTAGTAAAAGATGAGCAATCATAATTGATTATCGATTATTTGTATCGAATTCAAAATATCCTTAGATATGCATATGAATCCTCATAAATGCTTGATAAAATTCAATAGGCCGCAATCGATATATGGTCAGGTTTACATATATGCAACTATATTGCTGCTTGATCATAAGTCGATACATCCTCATCCATACAAGTGCTTGATTATAATCGATCATCGATAACTTCTTCGATATATACTAAGATAGAATATACAGTTAGATGCATATATATATGTATATGTATATATATGCTTGCATATAGAATGAACTATCATAATCGATTATTGATTACCAGCAGCAGAATCGATATAACATATCCTCAGACATGTAGTGCGTCTATATATTTAAGTGCTGGGTCGTTCATCTATAGCTGAATCGACAATAATTTAAGGTCATCTACATTCGTACTTGACCATAATCGATTATTTGTAGCTGAATCGATAGGCATATATTAATATACATCTTGATCATTCATGTTTATCTATGCCGATATATATGACATATATAGGTATGTCGATTAATTGCGGCTGAGACGATATATCCTCAGATATATAACAATATACATGCTTGATCGTTCATCTTTGGCTACGCCCATGTATTCCCAGGTATGTAAATTCTGGATCATAATCGATTATTTGTAGGTGTATCGATTTATTTCAGTTCAGTCCGCCTTTGCAGCATTCCTACAATCGATAACATTCCTTAGCATCATGAGTTAGTTAGCCAGCTCTGATTGTCTGGCTACACTCCAACTTCATCAATTCGAGTGCAGGCCTAATATGCTCTCTATGCGCACCTATTACAGGGTATACAGCGGGGGCAAGAGTTGCTTGGTTGAGGCACATAAAATGCCGCGGCTCAGTCTGTAGTAAGCATATGGGCTTGTTGGCGTATATCACAGGTCTGATTTACACACACACACACACTCGCACACACACACACACACACACACACACACGCACACACTCGCACACACACACACACACACACACACTCATTGAGTGACGATGCGTGCGAGTGCAACTCACGATAGTTGCCACAACAATGTCAAGCCAATTAACACAGTAAACCGCAATTGCAACTTCCGACGACTAAGTGCACGTCGAGCGCGCATAGTTATAGCTCCGGCCAGGCCACTTGCCACGCCCACTAAAAGATGAGGGGTTGGTGGGGAGCGGACAGCTGGTGGGGAGATTGCGGCTGTTGGGTCGTTTGTGACAAAAGCAACTAATTTGGTTTAACGCGCGTCGTGCTGCAAAATTTTCTTGCGGCTCATAGACCAGGAGCACGTCCTCCCTCACTCCATCTCTCTGTGTGTGAGAGTGTGTGTGTGTGTGTGTGTGTGCGACCCTTACTTACGCACTCATTAAGCATTTTTAGTCGGGCTTAGCGAGCCGTTTGTTTGCACTGCAAACTGGCTTGGCCCACAGACGACTCCTGGCATAGCACACCGCCCCAACTCCAACCATGCATCCAGCATGATGCCATTGTTATGTGCCCCCCCCTACACACACACACACACACACACACACACACACACACACATGTCTGGCCTGGCCTGGTGGTGCGTTGCTTTTTAATTTCGCTGCTGTTTGTTTGATTTTTAGCTTTTACAGCTGACAGTTTTGTGACGCGACAGTTGGCAATCCGAAGCCCAAGCTGAATGCCGAGCCCAACCACTCAACCACCCAACCAGCCAACCAACCACCAGGCGCACCGCCAGCGCGTGGGTCAAATTAAAAATTGTTGTTTATTTGACTTTTTGGCAGCTGCCAGAGCAAACGTTGCCCAGTTTCGCTTTGAACTTGCGCCGCGTTTAAGATGCAAAGAAAAACCATTTTCCAACAACTCTTTCAAACAATTTCCTCCTCTTTTTTTTTGCAATAAATTTTTATTTTATTTTCTTTAATATAAT